ACGCTCTAAGTACTGAGTTTGTCGTAGCCAAACCAGCGGCAATCCCCTCTGATGGAGCTGAGCACAAAGTACGTGCTAGACATTTTATGAAAGAGAATCTGTCTTACATACTTTCCAGGTTACTATCGGAATAGTTGATGTTGAACCCATTTTGGTTCATGAATGCGTTCCCTCAAAGAACACCAGCGCATTCCTTACTGCATCTGCAGTAAATAATTCTGACCTTCCTTTCTTAGCTGGCGAAACTTCCGTTTACTTGAACAATAGCTTTGTGTCTAAAGTGAGTGTATCTTTTCAAAACATGGTTCCAAGGATGTTGGATAAATTTTTAGGGAACTATAAGTAATGTTTCCCCAGGTGAAAGATTCTCTTGCTCGCTTGGAGTTGACACAGCGTTGCGGATCGAGTACAAGCCAGTCAAAAAATACCATGAGCAGGTATCAGGTTTCAAATTTTCCTTCCATACATGATCAAGATCCAACATACATGGCAAATTTTTATGATCAGTTGTATCTGTCGCTTCGTCATCTTAAACGGCGAAATTGGCGAACTCGAGACACAGCTGGCAATGCAATAGGGAGACTTTTTTAATTTCATGACCTTCGCAAAACATTAACGCAGAAGTCCTCCGCATTTTCCTCCGCCTATAAATTGTATATGTAGCGTTAATCACTTTTGGGCAATGAAATTTCGAAACGGATAATTGGTGTTATTCTTGATTGGGAAACAACTATTTAGACTGGACTAATATCAAAAAGCTCTTCAACTGTACATGATCAACTGATTACAATCAAGAACACGCGCAATGATCCTGTTCTGCTAACTTTGAAAGAACCCATACCTCGAAGCACTGATGAGAAAATCAAGGTTTGTCATTTGTAGTAACAACGTTGCAATTTTTTAAAAGTCCTCCTTAGATAAGACTCATTAACCCTACAGTGGCATTGATGGATGAAGCAAACGCAAACAATAAATTAGGTATGTCACTTACTTTGTTCTCACTAATTGAGGCTGACTTTTGCAGAAGACCTCACGGACGCTGCGGAAACTCCGAGACAGGGAGCAAAAATGAAGGGAAGTATCTTGGAATGGACTCTTTCTATCCGTGCAGGAATGGCCAGCGAGCTTCATGTGAAGTGGGCCATCGATCATCCTGCCAACGAGACCGTCCAGTTCATAGAGCGCCCGTCGAAGAAAAACAGTTCCTATTAATTAACTGTGATACAGCAGAGCGTCTGATGTTTTTTCTTGTTAAAGACCGAGAAATGGGTGGATTACATTCATTTACTGACATTTTCATGAGCGAACAGAATGATGACAACTTGAGGCAAATTATGCTGAATGCTTATATAAATTATTTTGCTATATATACAGCATTAGAAAGCATAATTTGACTAATATAAAGGAATGCGTCACAAGCACGTTTGGAATAGAACATTCATGGTAATTACTACCAAATTTTGAAGCGACATGTAGCGAAGATGTTTGCAAAGAGTGAAATATTTATGAATGGTGGGCAATCAAGCTATCGTAGTTTATGTGCTTATTTATATCAGGGCTGCAAGCTTTGCAAAGATCCAGGAAGCAACTCAAAAACTTTTGAAGCTTCTGAGAGCTTCTTTATTGAAAGTTTTTTGTCGCACCACCACTGCATGCACAAAGCTTCCCCTTGCATCATTCATCGAATAACAAGATAACAAAAGACACTCAAACACTCGCACCGACCGGTAGATCCGTCACCGACATCTCGGCCGGAGCGGTCACCAGCCAGCCCTCAGTCACCCGAACGGCCGCCAGCCAGTATGCAACAGTAGCGCACGGAAACATCGGGCTACAGCTTCCTCTAAATTCTAGCTATCATTCAGCACTGTAATCTCAATACAAAGCGGTACGATTCTGCATCAATATATTCATTATAACGATAATACATTGAGAAGAAACATCGACAAAAAAGAATGGATAATAATAAAAAGATAAAGTATTCTCTTCAATATCCTCTGGGGGCATGCGCCGAACGCAAACTACTTCTTAGTCGAAGACGCGATTGTATGCGTGCGAGCCTATTACAGTGACTTGCGGGCCAGCCGTTTAGGCTGGATTGATACTGATCCATTAGTTCCGGAACAGTTCACCACAGCGCTCGAACGGCACAGCTGTGTTGGAACTGTTCCCGTATTACGGATCAGTATGACCCAGCCTTACCGAGTCAGTGCTTTTATCCTCCCGGATAACTCTGGTACCAACTTACCGCCTCGAAGGGTAGAGGGCTTGGTTGGTCCATGAGCAGGGATCGAACCTGTGGCCGATCTGATCATAGCGGCGCCTCATACCATTACGCCATTAGCCCTCAAAGAGAATGCTGAACACATACTTACAAAAAAATTTCTGTGAACCTGCAAAATAAACTTCTATTTATACGGAAAGATTACTTGACGCAGCAGGTTCACGCATAATGGACAACCGTTCCGAGTGCTTTGGTAGTAATGTCACACGTACCACCAGTAAGTGGTAATAAGCTGCATTCGACAACCTGTAAGTGAAACAAATTACTGACAAGTTTTGTTTGATTCCAGAACTTACATGCTATGCATAGAGTTGCGATAATATCTGCCAGCAAAGCACGACCGAAAACATGAGCATTCACGATTAAAATGGATGAGCGTACTAGTCTCTAGAAACTGCAAAGCTAATCTAAAAGATTTTCCAAGAACTTACATCCTTTGAAGTCGTTTTAGCCACCGTGATCATTAGATTAGCAGAAATGCGGTAGAATATCAGATAGCTTGCGAACCCGTGAATATGTTGTCAACATAGCAGCGATCGACAGATTAGCAACGTCTACATGAATTTTAGAATACTCAGCAAGCAAGGATAGTCCGAATATTGAGTAATAGGAATTTGAAGGAGCTTTCAATAAGTTTGAATTTCACGATTAACAGTGTTGAACTGGTGTGGTAATCATTGTAGTTCCATCAAATAAGAACGCAAACAACAGGCACATTGTAGCTGCCTCGTGAAGACTGTGAGTATTCGGTTTGTACTTCCCTAGTTCGTGCCCAAAATCTGATGTGACACCTAGATTTCACCTTGAGCATTTGAATTCATTGATGTCTTCTTCACCACATAAGTTAGAAACAGCACGAAGTAGTAAGAAGAAATCACATACATCATAGGCTTTGCTTGAATCTAAAAAAAAGCGGAATTATAGTAAAGATGGACTACATCAAGTCACATATACGAATCCCAAACTTCTAACAACATAACCCTTTCATGCCAGTCGTACATGAAGTAGTGGTAACAAAAAGAAGGGAACTAATAACAATAATAATGATGGAGAATACTTAACGCTCAAAGCGCGATGTTTGAAATTACTTTCTCACTGTACGCGCAATTTCACGTGGTTCTCGTGTTTTTGTACAGTGAAACGGCCGCCAGTCTGCGCGATCTTCTGGTCCACCTCGCCGGCTGGCATTAGGCTTCTCTAAAAATAACAGCCCGGTTGCCGACCGGAAGTTTGTCGTCGCAAGGTCGCCAACCGGCGCGCGTGTTTTAGCAAGAAGCAGCCAAGCTTGCACTCCACACTCCTTTCTTATTTTAAAACTTATATTCGCACGCAGTGGTTTGCTTGTATTGAATTATAGTGCCCTGACCAGCTTCCCATAGGTACCTCCGTGCCGCAAGCTGCAACGCAGGTTTTCCGTGCTCATGCTTTGGCTTCTAAGAATCGCTTGTTTCTCTCTCTTTTTTGAATTAGCTGCCGTATCATCTCTCTATTAGGTATAATTATTCCACGACAGTAGTGGGTGAGCGAATTTTTGAGTGTCTCAGTCATTCTGAGAGCTCCTGTCTTGAACGTCTTCCGTTTTTTATCGAAGAATTGAAACTTAACAAATTCCTGAAAGATTGCATTGTTAACTATTATGTACATTGAATCTTTGGCAACATTGCACTCCGGATTACTTCCATCACGTTTTTCAAATTCATAATATTTGTATGAAAAACCGCGGCTTTTTGATCACGTTTAGAGCATAGGAGTGCCGAAAACTCCAAAAGGCAGTTTTTTCAAAGCAAATCAAAACTTGATTATGTTGCTTACAATAATTGTTCAATAATAAGCAAGCTTTAACTCGCAGAAACTTCAAAAGCTTTCATGGTTTTGGTGCAGTTGCGTGTTTCACGACTTTA